TGTTCAGAATCCTCTCACTACGCGGTTCTACTGTGCATGTGTACTTGGCGTCTTGATGATGCCCTGTTCATCTAAGAAGTTGACCGAGGCTGAAAATCTCTCAAATAATTAAAAAAAAAACAAAAATCTCTTTAATAAAAAAGGATAAAAAAGAAGTTGTTGCTTCCTGAAAATATGTTCAGGTGATTGAAACCTTCTGTATGGAAGCAGATAAGTTCACAATTTTCCTCCTTCCCTATCATCAGGAAAGTCTCAGTCGTAGCGCCACGTAGGGAGAAAATTTAGAACTTATTTCTTTATCATTCAAAATGCAATGATTATTTGACCAAGTTTTCCGAAAACAGCAAATTCCTAGATGGAAAGGATATCAAGATACAGGCACAGGAAATGCATATGGACATATTGGACACTGACGCCACTTATGTCGTTTTCGTTTTTGCGGTGTAGCTACACCGCCGAACACCGGAAAAAATCAGGTTGCACCTTTGCTAACAAACAAATGATGATGAGCTGTCAGTGACTCACGCTTTTTGCTGCTTACACTACACCGGTGTAGTGTATTAAAAACGAAAACGACATTAGTGAAGGAATTTCACATTTCCTTGTTCACCATCACCATTTAGAAAGCCTTGAACATATTAACAACATTTCCGGAAAATGAAACTTCGTATAAAACCAGAACCTAGTTTCTTGAATTGACCCCTTTTTGGGATATTAAGGTTCCGAATTCATTCTGACGACAGATCTACAAATGTTTTCGAAAAAGCCTGATATATTTCAGAAACAAGATATTATTATTTGCATTCAGTTCCAACCCCATGCAAAGATGCCCGTCTTACCACTATACAACTCAAGCAATAACAGCTTATGTGACACTTCATAATTTAAAGAAAACTTTAGAAAACCGTACAGACTTTTCCTAAGAGTAACTGGGTCCAGGACGGTTTTTTGAAATTTTTCCGGTTGAACAATATCTTGACATCCCTGTGCAGGGAGAATGATTATACTTGCCACACAATAATACTAATGCAAACATGGCACTGACTTGCAAAGCTCTCAACTAAGAACACTAAGAAGAGAGTTGGCGAAAAGTTCCAGTAGGAGATCAAGCAAACGAGTCATTCAGATGAGAACATGAAATTTCCCTATTCAAGGACTATTGGAGCACTATTGGAAGAGATTCCAAGGCATTCGGATGTGGTCAAGAATCTTGACTCAAGATACCAGAACACTTCTGTAAGAAAATGACGAGAGGGCCCTACCGGAACCGGTTCTGAGGTATCCAAATGTGGTTCGTATGAAAAATAATTAAGTTGGATAAAAAAAACTGAAAGTGGGCCTCACTAGAACCAGTTCCAACATATCCGTATATGGGCAAGTTCATCCATCGGACCTTGGTAAGATGCCAATACAATAATAATACACATCATGAAGGTTGATAGGCCGACTGTCACATTTAGATCAAAATAAGTCACTTTAACTGAAAGTGACCTCATTGGGACCCTACTAGAACCGGTTTCGGTGATGTCAAAACACTTATGAATGGAAAATCATCAATCAGGTCGAATGGAAGATTTAGGCGAGGAACTGATAATTTTCTCATTGGTGCTTCGTCGGAACCGGTGCTGGTTGTTTAAGTGCCATGTAGTGACCACAATCATCGTTAAAAATATATAGTAGAATTTACGTATTCTCGTAAATCTAAGCAGCGTCCATGCTTTCATTAGGATGATCTCATCTTCATGACACATATTACGAGGTTTGTTTAGAGTCATGTTTAACATCAAAGCAACCGGACATTCTTTATCGGGATTTAATCCGAGGATAATACCGGTTGGATATATAAATTTACTTACGCTAACAAAACGATTATCCTGGCCTGGCTTCTATCGAATTCGAAACCGGATCAGAATCGATGAAAAAGAATAATTATTTACTTTTCATCCGTTTTCCTTCCGCTCTCTTACACGGTTAGATAAAAGTACCCAAAATTAAGTTCTTTTCACTCATCTCGGCACTATTGTGCAGGAACCCAAAAGTAGGTAAAGCGGGTCAAAGTAATTTTCATTTACTTGTGTGCAGTTCGTATGGAATTATAACCAAAAGTAAGTTAGTTGTACCCAACAGTAGGTAAATATTGTTATACCCAACGTTGGGTTCCCACACTTTACTACCCCTGTTGGGTGGTTTGGCTCCTTCTATTTTGACAACATTAGAAGGAGAAAATGAGACAAACTAGTCAAAAGTAGGTAAAAGTGAACTGGCCGTTGGATACTTTTTTGTTACCGTGAACGATATTGCCTTTATTGTCTATTAGCCTACTTTGATTTCTGAACTCGTTTCTACAACAGCATGGAATGTCAAAACACAAAACGGAAGAAACAAGTGTATTGATTAGTTTTTGCCAGTTCACTGCTTTTACTATTTTTCCCTTTCCGTCGCATGATAGCACGCCTGTTTTGAAATTTAATTCAATAAAAAATTCATCTTGGTCTGCACTAATTTATCCATGGCTGGTAAGAAATAATCCATGTCGATTTGATAATATTCTGAAGATATCGCTATTTATTAGGTTGGCTAAAATATCAATTTTTCTCGATTACTCTCAATCGATTCAAATAAAGTCATGATAATTCACGCAAGATTTGAGCACATTTGGTTTCAATCTCATACTGCACTTTCCATTTGAAATATCTATATGGAAATTGCTATGAGAAAAATGAACTTTTCATTCCTACTGCCCTACACAGAAATTCAAAACAACCCAAAATTAAGTTCTTTTCACTCATCTCCCATGTTCCGTACAATAAGCCAAATTTGGGTAAACCGGCTCAAAGTAGTTTGCATTTAAGCACGGCAAAAAAAATTACCCATCGCTAAGTTATTTTCAATTTTTTCTACCCAAAATTAAGTTCAATTAACTCAAATTTGGGTATATCGCATATTACTCAATTTTGGCTTCTCGTACGGAACTAGACGGTTGAGTCGAATCTTTTGTTCTATTTTTGACAACAATAGCGAGAGAAAATGAAACGGGCTGAGGTCAAATAACTCAAATTTGAGTTTAAAAAACCCAAGCGGTGGGTAGTTTTGTTTTTCTGTGAGTCTTTTGCTGACAGCTTGCTATTTGAGCTGATGTGAAATTTTATCAGCTGCAATTGCTACTCCTGAAGACCGCTCTTTGGTTTAAAGTCAAGAAAATTATTCAAAGATTGATTTCAGAGTCGATAGCTTTCTGAAAGGATGGATCGACTGCTATCACTATATCTTGCACATAGTAGTCTGGATTTGTTTGCCCTACACGCTATTTTGAGACTACTCAGTGACTGGGTAAATCGCACTCATGTTACTTAATTATCATTTCAATATGTTTTTTTTTTTAATATTCTTCCTGGACGAAATAATTTATACATTAAAGCATTCATGGGGCATTCATTCGTTTCAATCGAAATGGGTAAGGTTTACTCAGTTGATAAATGTCATCATCTGAGTAACCGTTACCCAGTTTCCTCCATAGACACGTGTACTCAAATTTGAGTAAACGCATGTTTATTCATTTTTGAGTAACTTCCCTTTTGATTGGACTGAGGCGTTTTTGACTCAAAAATGAGTATCCTCAAAATAGCGGGTGAGCTTTGCGCCGATTACACCACTGTTGCCTGCTATGCAGTTGATTGAGCATGTCAGAAGCATATCATCTTTCTATTTATTAATAACTAATTAACTAAAAAAAATGGTATTTGGCAAAGTTGAAGCTCAGTAAGTTTCCTATAAATACAGAGAGCAAGTTTATCCATACATTATTATGATTAAAGATAAGAAATGAACTAGCCTACGGCTAAAAATCTATATAATAAAGTAAAAAGAAAAAATATATATATGATGAGAGGTTAGGACGACAAAAGGTTTACTTTCCCCGTATAAAAATGAAAGGACCAGTGCACTGTGAGATCGCAACCAAATTAGTTTAAATTTTGGGAGAATGATCAGATCTTGATTTGGGATTGATTGAGTGGAGTGAAGCAAAATTAATATTTTGATATGCGAAAAAAAACATTAAACGTGAAGGAGTTGACATGATTTAATGTAATGATCTAAATTCAATTGATTTTAGAAAATCAATTAACAAATGCATTTGCACAATATAGTGAACTCTCTACAACTTGATATTGAAGGGACCATTGCATTGAGTTCTAGAATTATTGAGGCATAGAATAATAATAGGAAATCACCATCGAAGTAGCCATGAAATTAATTTTTGTTATGGTTCTATAGGTTGATAGCTGTGCAGAGATGACTGTATAGTATTGTATATTTACAGATATTATCAATGTACGAATCTTTCAAGCTGTATGTACCAAATTATAAACAACATAGGTAAGACATCAAATCTCAATCTTTCAAAAATATAATATCGTGTGCAAATAATTAATATTCATCAGTATTTTGTAAAATTTGCTCTTACTAAACTCCGGGGAGAAAAAAGATGGACATCTTAACATCTGCTAATTAACTAATGAAATAAAATAGTACGTACTGTTCCCCATGAACGAACAAGGCTACCGTCTTATAACTTGTTTTAATAATTATCCACAAAAAACGTCACCAAGTCGTATAAAATGTCAAACTCTTCAGTCTGGTCAAAGTTTAATAGTATCACAAATAATTGTACAGATTTTACGGTGTAACGGATCCGAAATGAAACTTTCCAATCAAATTTGTATTTATCAAATTCGAGTTTTAAGCCATTTTTTGCAATTTTTGGTATCAAAAGTACTTTACACTGAACAGTGAACCGTCGACGAGCATACAGTTGCAATACTTTAAATCTAACAAACCCACAGATGAAAAATTTATCGAAAAAATAAATGCACAATTTCACTAATTATTTTCCCTTCACGATCACTTGAACACTTCAACGTCATTGAACAAACCACCAGGCTGATCCACTAAATGTCATCAATCCGTTTTAAGTAACTAGCTAAATACTTTCCACTCACCAACTAGGGTAACAAAATATTCTCCACCACTTTCGCGCCCGATCGAGACAGGACAGTTCGAGAAGAAGCTTTCGCGTCGATTAACTGATCAGATTTGAAACCGCGCCGCGTGGCCCTCGGAGCTTTCGATCAGTTAAGTACACTGTTTTACATCTATCGCGCCACACCGGAAGCCAACAGTAGCAACGGACAGACAGACAGACTGAGAGTAGGAGGTGGTGATGTTTTTCGTTCTCAGCGCACCCAAGAAGCGAATCTTCATTCTCCGACTAACGACAAATAACTGAAATCTCTGATAGCGTTGTCTTCCGCAGGTAAGCTTTTTTTTCGCACAGATTCCCGCGCTCGCACATCACTCTCCTAGAGCTGCTTTATCAAACGAGCACCCATCCTATGTATGAAACAAAAAAAGAAGACAAATGTGTATGAAAATATAATTATTTATCACTGCATGTCACATATTTTATTATGTCACTTACACGTTCATACGGCTATGGTAACGATCGTACGTTGCAGCCATTACAAGGGGGAGAACTGTAGAGCGATCTTCTGGTTCATAGGCATACGATACAGTCAGGTGTGGCGGGTAGATAGTTGGTCATGGGGCTTGCTTCAATTCATATTCCGACAACTTACTAAAAGTATCCGAAAAATTCTCCCGGAACCGGAAGTATGAATAGTAATCAATACGGAGGAGTGGAAAACCTCCCTTAGCCTAGTCGATAAAGGGATGGCTTCAATGCAAACCATGGTATAGGTGGCGGGTTCGATTTCGGATTAAACCGAGAATTTTATCGAATTGAAATGTTTCTCGATTTTCCTGGAAATAGAGTAGGATTGTGATATTTAGGTTTAGGTGTTAACAGTTAGATGGCTTTAAATATTATATGTGGAAGTACTCAAATAACACCAAATTCCAGTTGAGTCGTAAAAGGCGTGAAAATTAAGGAAGGAACGGGATTAACCAGATCATTAATTGATTAATGATTAGTGATTATCCACAATGTCTATCTATGAACTTTTTAGATCTTAATCTATTGTCTCATTGTGACGATGGTTAAAGATTTATGGTAAATGTCTTAAATTTCATGCTTAATGATTATGATTATCGATTAATCATAAATCATTGATTATTTGAACGCTCTGAGATTAAATACTGAAATCAAAATTAGACGATATAGACCAATCAGTTGAAAATACAAAATCAATTAGTGACTTGACCGAGAATAGGATTTGAATAAGTAACGTTCAGCATGATAAGGTTTTTTTCCCTTGATTTGTTTTCCGTCGATCTTGTTTTCCGTACTGAGTACTAATACTACATACATCAGAAAGGCAGCTCCCACACCTGGACCTTACCTAGAAATCAAATCATGGGACCAACGGTTATATTTCCCGTGATCAGAGATTTGATGCCTCAGAAAATCCCGACGGCACCGACTGGGATTGAACCCAGGCCCTTTGGAGTGAGAGGAAATCATACCACTACACCACCGCTAGCATGATACACAGCAAAAAATAACAAGAGGATGCACTTCAATCGTGTCGAAAATCTCATGTAATTTTTATGGCCACAAAAATAAACAAAAGCAGTAAAAGCAGCGTAATGTCAGTTCATGCACTGTATTAATGATAATTTTGTCCTGTTTGGCAAGTACACCATATTTTTGACACGATTGAAGTGCATCCACTTTGATGTGATATCAAAGTTATTATTTTTGCTGTGTACGATTAAGTGTCACTTCCTCGTGCTCCACTTCGATTCGTCATACCCAGCACCGTACTTAGCTGATAACAATATTGGAACTCGGGGTTTTCTTTTATTATCGGGCAAAATGAGCCGAAGGGTCATAGAATTTTATAAACTTTTGCAGATATGGTAAAAATAAATCTGAGGAATGAACGTTTGCAGATTTTCAAATGAGAATTTTTTGTGGAAATTTTTATTACTCTGAAAATGGTTTATCCTGTTTATCTTTGGATTTTCCCACCACTGTGATATTTCTTCAGAGTAAATTTTTTTTTTCAGATTATCGTACAGCAGCCCAACCCAGACACTAAGTCCATAAATCTGGACATTCAACGTAAATGTGCATATGGTCTTGTGGTATCGCTCAAAATTAATACACATGTTTATTATGATGTGAAGTAGATGTAATATTTAATTATAAACTGAAATGTCCGGATTTTCAAATCTTCAGGTCTTCGGAGAATTACGGTATATTTTAATGGATTGCTAAGATAATTTCCATATCATTTCTGTATTTTCTTTCTACGATACTTGGTTCATGAATTATGAAATTTCAAAACAAGTGATGTCTAGGAAAATTTGAAACTTCAACTCAAATTTTCTGGTTAAATTGAACACCCCTAATCAGGTATGGAAAATCATTGAATGTTAATTACATTCACTGAAAAACAATAACCGCTCTATCTCTAGCTCACCTTGCATAAAAGATACGTATTGTAACGAATAACACAACCTACGAGAGCTTTATACATCGTTTAACGGAATTAAATTGATGAAAAAAGTTAGAGGCAAATTAATGTAAATGAATGCACGAAATTAATGAAAATTATTTTCCATGCCTGCCCCTGACATGGGCAAAATTTTATAAAATTCTAAAACCCTTCGGCCAATTTTGTCCGATAGAAAAAATCCCCAAGTGCAATCTTGCTATCAGCTAAGTATGGTATGACGATTCGAAGTAGAGTACGAGAAAGTGGCGTTTAACCCTATCATGCTTAAGTATGAAGTTTGAGGTTATCGCCAATCGGACCCATTCCAAGAAGTTCATCACCGCGACTTTTCAACTACATTGCTGATTTACTGTGTTGTAATCACTTTCAATTGAGGTTTAACATTAGACAAAACTTGAAAATCATCTTTTAAGCTATCTTAGTAATATCAAAACATTTTTACTAACCGAAAAATTTCCATTACACTAGACTTAAAGTAAAAAATATGATATTTTTAGGTCGCGGTGTCCCGTCACGCAGTGTTCTACTTCAAGTAGCATTTATGAGTGACTGTATTCTTAACTATTGATTGGATTTATTCAATCGGGCCAAAAATCTGCGTAAGGGACATCGACCCTACGAAACATGCAACGATCGGCCGCAGTACGTCCAGATGTTCCAGTGGGAAGCCCAAAAATGATGAAGTTGATGGATCTACATGTACCTGTTTCACTTGGTTGTACGGGCACCTAGTGGCAAAGTTGACTTCTGACGAGTCTTCCAGTGCTCCGTGAAATCGGACCAACGTGCTGGATAGGATCCTTAGATGTTCCCATACAAAAATTTGCTTGAATGATTAAAAATCTCATCAACATGTTGCACACATTTACGACAATTTTAGAACTAACGAGTATTTAAATAGCAACTCTTTGTTGATACTAGAACAATCGGGATATCCGGAAGGTCATTCTTGTGAAACTGTGTAGAATTTCATATCAGAAAAATAAATGACACCATGTAAACGTAAAAATACAATTTATGCTGTTTTTCTATGACCTTAGTTTTAAGAGTAATCAAGCGCTTTGGAATTACGAGTACTGCATATAAATGGATCGAACACTATTTGTCTGACCGAAATCAACGGACTGATTTCAATGATTCTGATTCCAGTCACGTGATAAATAGCCTTAGAGTGCCCCAGGGAAGTGTTTTAGGGCCCCTTTTATGTATTATGTATATTAATGAAATGCGACGAGTTTTATGGTTTTATGACATATATTTCTTCTTCTATGATTTTACGCTTCTGTAGCGAGCATTTTGCCGGCTCTCAACTTAGTGTTCTAGATACGCTTCAACAGATGAATTTGTATATTGTGTGAAAAGCACAATGATACTATATGCCCAGGGAAAGGGCGAACATTCCCAACCCGAAATATCTCCTCGACTGGACCGCGAATCGAACCCGCCACCTCTAGCTTTACCGACTAAATTATCTGAGGCTTTGCAAATGATGCTGCATTTAAAGTTTTAGATGATTCCATTTTACACTTCATTGAAGATATGAATTCTCGTAGTAGATGGTTGAAGTGTAAGCAGTTGATATTGAATATAAGTAAAATTAAATTAAAACTAGTTTCACGGAATCGATCGAAATGACGAGAACCTCTCTGTTGTAATTGATGATGAAACTGTTGATCGCGCACAGGAGATTAAATATCTTGGTGTGATTATTGAAGATAAACTTAAGCTCAACTCTCAAACTGACAATGTCATCAAGAAAATTACCAAGAAGTGTGGAATTCTATGTCGTTTGATTTTTTTTTTCGTTTATTTGCAGTAAAATACACCTATACAAATCAATCATCTCTCCTCGTCTAGACTTTTGCGTATTCATTTTATTGTTGGCCAACGAAACACAAATATAGAAATTACTGCGCTTGAAGGATCAAATAGTGCGTTTGAGCTTAAGATGTAATAAATTCACTACCTCAACGTTGATGTTGGACGCTTTGCAGTGGTTGTCAATGTGCAACAAAGAATTGTATGTTTGGCTATGAAAGTTTTTTTATTATTATCGGACTAAATGGGTCGAAGGGTCTCAGAATTATATGAAAAATTTCCCACAGGTAGAGTTTATGGTTTCCACGAACATTTTCACGGTGGAGGAAAATCTGAAAAATATCGCTGTGGTTTTGGGCCTTGACATGTACACAGGTGTGCTAGATGTATACATGGATGTGAAAAGGAGATTCCCTTCTCGCTGCATTTCCTCAATCCCAAGGGGAATTTATTTTATGACGGGAATAAAGATAAATCCTTCCTTTGTAAGACGGAGGGGCACCGGATGAATTCCTGCTCAAAGCAACACCAGGACGAGGAAATGCAACAGCACAATGGAAAGCAAAGCAGCAGCAGCACGTACGCTTATATACTGGCTGAAGGTGCGTCTTTGGACAACAATGACCAGGAAACGGAGAAAGAGGAGAGTTGCTTGAGAATAACGTTTTCAAAATGGACGCGATAACCCTGATAATCGAGGAGAGCAACGAAGAACAAACGAGATAAGTCCCAGGCTAAATAGCGAAAAATAGTTTAATTTTGAATCGACCTTCTTCGATTTGTTTGAAACTTTGCGTAATTGGTTATAGCAAACGATTCACAGTTTTGCTAATAATTTGGCCATTTTGAACCTTGTGAAATTACCAAAATAGCACCCTTGAAATTTTTCAAAAAATTGCAGCACGGACATGGCATTTATGATCAAAATGACGTCAGATACAACGTTGAAAATAATAATAACGTCTTTATT